TATTGTCGAACCTAAGCAACAAATAGCAGGCGTACCCCTCGCCGTGCCAGGTTCATTAGATGGCGCAATTATTGTGGGGCTTCACAGAATCGTATGTTTTATTCGCCAATCGGTCTATTGTCTGGACGATTTGAATGGAAAGGAGATTATCTTGCGTACCCAGCGATATTGAGATATTGGGTAAATTGGAAGGGATTACGGAGGAGGAGTTGGAGATAGAGATATTGTTTCTGGGGGTGATCGAGTGCATTTCTTTGATTCTTTGATAGGTAAGGGGTAACCTGGCATTTCTGATATTGTACGGTAATCATGACAAACAAAAGTCCTCCAATTCCGGTCTCTTTGCCTTTCTAAAGCGCTAAAAGCTGATAAAAGACACGAATTTTTGGAGGGCAAAATTTAGAATTACCGTATTTATTAAATACCATTTCATCAGGTGCGAAAATCCCGTAGTTTAGAAATTTTATTTTATCGTTCCCTGGAAAGCTCTAGTCGCTTTTTCTAGTGAACCCCTCTGCCGTTGGTGAGGAAAATCGGGGCTAATATGGGATGGGGACGAGGCCAAATATACAGATAAGAACAGCTCACGCAAGAGTGACTAATTTTGACGACAGTTTTATGGCTGGAATAGGGCTAGGGTGTTCGAGTTTATGCGTTTTGTGCTTTTTAATAAAATTTTAGCATTTATTACTCCCTCGAAATACTAAATAATGATAGAGGTGCTCCAGTTGTATTGATGTCGATTTTTCAAAGCGTTCAATGCAATATAGGTAGCGTTACTAGCGCCTGGCATCACTTAGTTTAAGGTATGCCTCTGTCGAGCTCAAAAATAACAAGGTGGTAGTGCTTTATTTAGTCGATAATAATCCTTCGACGCTCGAGTCGTGGGCTGGCGTTTTTTCCTAGAATCTATTTAAAGGGCGTCTGGCAGCAAGCCCCTTTTCCACGACTCGTGGAAGCGTCGCGGTCGGGTGCGTCGCGGCAGGGAGAGAAAGAGCGCGCCCAGAGGAGAGACGCAGACAGAACTCTGCGTCTCTGCCCGGTCCCCAAAATGCCGTGATCGGTGTGCTGCCAGAGCCACTTTAACGTAGAGCCATACCTTACCAATCCCTTTAAGATATCATATTTTCGATTTCTAGAATTTTTGCAACCCAGCCTAGATGAGCATGAAATCCCGATGCGAATGAGTCCGTCCCGATCTCCTCAGAATTACCATTCTGTGGTCGGCCATTTTTGCACGGGCCAGCCTTCTTCTTCTCCTCCGTCCTTTATCACTGTTCCAATAAAAATTCGGGCGCACTCACCCGTCCGCCCGGCCACAATGACTGACTGACTGGCTTGCACCACCAAAACCGGCGATTTCGGATTTGAGTCACAAGTTTTCACAAGTCTCTGTCTCGTATATCGGAAAGTCTCGGAATTAATTTACATTGATTGAGCGTGCGTAAAATTGAAGCCAATGTGATGAAATTTGCAGGCTTTCGACGCTTTTTCCGGCACTTTTCAAAAATTAGTTAAAAGATCCCTGATGCTAAATTCGTTGTGATTTGATTTTAGTAAGTCGCATTCCACTAGAGTTTGCCTTAAGTTCACTTCGATATCTCGATAGGCGACCGGTTTCTAACGTTCTATTTTGACCCCAAAAATATTCCCATTGACGCCTCTAAAGCTTTCCGGTTCTAGGTCGTTTTGGTGCCGTTTCCGGTCCGATCCTCTAACCAGTTGAATGAACAGATTTGAAATTGTAAAACTAAGTCCCGGAAATGGTGCCGAGATAGCATTAGTGATTCTCAAATCTCTCTATCTCTCCCTCTCTCTTTATCTCTCTCTGTCTCTCCCTCGCTCTCTCTCTCTCTCTCTCTCTCTCGATTCTCGTGCAACCGTAGATATTGCCTCCCGTATACCAGAGGATTAGTCGGGATGAACTTTTCAAGATTTATCCCCTCCCCCAGGGCTCAACTCCCAGAAAATCCCGCCCGCTTCCTAAAAAACGCACCCTTTCCCGGTGGGCATTTCGTGACTTCCGTTTTTTGCGGGATTTCGCGCGGCGGCGTTTATCCTCTGATTTTTTTGGTATGAACCGGGATGGAATCGGATGAAATCTGGATTATCCATGGCACAGGATGTGCCGGTAATTCCTCAAGGATCTTGCTTTTCGCGCTTTAATGGCACCTCGCAGTACTAAGAGCGTAGTGGGTGAACGCGTTGCTGTCGTGTCGCGTCAGCCCGACCTGCTCTGACGACGCGAACGTTACCGAGTAAAAAGTTAAAAAGGTCGCGTTGCGTTTGATTTACTGTTTTTGAACGGCTAGCTAGCAGAGACCATTTACTCGCAAATGGTCTCTGCTAGCTAGCCTGTCTCCACCCTCGTCCTAACTACACCTTTTAATTTTTCAGAGAACGCCAAGATCTATTTGGTTTTACTGTCGTCCCAAACAATCTTACACTCCCAAATAATCGCTGTCGCCTTCTCTGCCTTGGTGTCAAGCTCAGCCGATCTTCGGTTTGATTCTCCTCGATTTTCCGGACCATGTAGGATTATCGGCGATTTGATATTGCTCTTGCCGGATGTAGCGAGAAGTGCTTTTCGTATCCAGAAATCGGAAAAATATGTACCAGAGTGTTGGAAGCTGTACTTTGCAGTGATACCACCTTTTTCATTATCTTAGCGGTTTCTCGGTGTCCAAAGTGCCAAGAATTCAGCCTTTACCCCCTGGAATCCCCGGCGAGACGGTGCTTTCTGTTTTGATGCACCTGATACCGTAATCCGGATATGTAAATCATGAATTTCCGAGAATGAGGAGGAGCCGATTCTGGGGGATGATTTTCTAGAGAGCGAGTCTAGAACACTTTGGAAAATTTTGCATTAATTAAAATACGTTCTACATTTTCCCAGAATATCTTTTTTGCCGTACCAGTGCCTTTAAAACCCGTCAGCCCCAGATTTTTGCCGGAAACACCTCTAAATTCCTCTTCGTCTCCTCCAGGCTTCAGCTTCGGCTTTGGGCTTCGGCTTCTTAGGCTTAGGGTTAAGAATAGGCTCAGGCTTAGGCTTAGACGTAGGCTTAGGCTTGGCTTAGCCTAGGCTTAGGTTTAGGAGTCAAACCAAGATTTTTGCCGGAAACACCTCTAAATTCCTCTCGTCTCCCAGCAGACATATGCATAAACGAGAAGCCACTTTTGCTGGTGCCTTGCTGGGCCCAGTGCCCAAAATTCCTGGAAGAAGCCGATCCCCCTGGTGTCGTTTTTTGGCACTGCCGGCTCCCAGGAGCAACGATGAATTATTTCGGAGAGCCAACGAGCCATGGGGCTGCGGTGGGACCCGGGCACCTAGAAGAACCCAGACGCCCAGCAACAACTTTTGCGGCTCTCAACCCCAGTTATCCCTCCTTTGGCACAAATTTGCAAGGTCTTAGCCCGAATTTTCTTCAACAATTTTGGCTGAGAATTGCGAGCTGGCAGGTGCCGAATTTTTTGAAGGAACATGGTAAAACTAACTTTTAAGGTTTTTTGTACTTGAATCGAATCTATAAAAATAGTTCATTATGTAGTAAAGAGAATTTTTTTGTAGTTCTAGTAAACATAAAAATAGAACCGAAATAAAAATCAACAAAAAAAGTTTCATGAATTCCCAAACATTTTAAAAATAATTGGTAATAATTTGTCGAACGATTTAAATTTTTGGACTTTTTTTATTCGTATCTTAATTTTAAAAATATTTTTTAATTTCTACACCCAAAAAAACACCTAAGAAAATAATTCTATTTCATAGCTCCTCCCAAAAAATTATTAGGAAACTAATTATTTCCATTTTTTTTTAGAAATCGTAAAATGTCAAAACATGGCATTTTCAAATCAAGCAAAGGCCATCTAAAAATGCGCAATTTCCTTATGCATTCCCGGCGCTTTTTCCACTTCCTCGTCCCTTAAAAATCCCACTTTTTGCCCGCTCGAGACCTGGAGGTATCCCCCTCATTAAACCGACAAAATCCGCTTTTCCTGGCCGTTTTCATGACCCGCCTGGAATAAATACAGCCAAAGCACTCAACACCGGCCACAAGCCACATTCACTTCTCGCTGAGTGTATTTTGCTGATTTTGAGCACGATGTACGAGCCCCACCTCCTCCTCCTCAGGACCTTTTCCATTCGCATTAAATCGAGGGAAACTAATATTTTTTCATATTTTCATCGTGCTCCGCCGGGGTGATTACCGGAAAAGGTGCCAGATTCTCACGAAAACTGGCGATCAGCAGCTCGTGAGAACTTAGAAAATTAGCCCGCTTTTTAGCAAGCGGCACCTGATGTTGGGCCGTCATTTTGGGTTCCTACGTTTTTGGGGCTGATTGCGGAAATTTTCCGCAATGTTTCCGGCTGCTGTAAATGACGAAAATTGCGTACTTTTCAGCAACTTCTAGCGTACTTCTATATCGCGGTGTTTCGGATACGGTAATCAACGAAAACTGCGGATTTTTGAGTAATTTTCACGCATTTTCTAAGTTACCATTATGTGCTCTTTTGCTCTACCGCTACTGCTAAAAATTAGATATTTTAGATGGTTTTTTTGTACCTTTTCCTGACTATTTTTCGACTTGAAAATACGTTAGTGTTCTATACTATACGGCGCTCTAAAAAGTTACCGTACCCCGGGAAAAATGCTCCTTGATCTCGCTATTTCCAGCTACCGTAACCCCCAGAAAACTACGCTTTTTTGCACCGGTTTTCCGTTTTCAATTTCGAAGTTGGAAATACCGTATGGTCTATTATTTTGCACATATTTTTCCATAGATTTTATGTCTTTTCTCGCTATTTGGAGCCCCCGAATGACCGTAGTCCTTTTTTCGCTTTTTTGAAGAGCTTTTTCTTTTTTTTCTTCTTTAAGCTTTTTCGCTTCCTCGAAACCGTATCCCGAAAGTTAATTTTTTTGTGTTTTTCTCGTTTCCACATTTTTCTATTTGATGCATCAACTACCGTACCTGAAATTTACGCAAAATTTTGCAGAATGTTCGAGTACGACCGGTGGCCAGACCTTGGGCTCAATATGAGGAGAAGAGATGAGACCGACTTCAAGAATGACTTCCGGGAAATCTCGCAGGTTTGTGGGGAAATGCTTTAAGGGAGCTAGCAGAGATTATTGAAGAAATCCCGAGCTCTTTTAAACACCTAATTCTAGGCAATCTCCGCCGCCCAAACCATCCCGCGCGAGCAGTTCGACTGCGGCAGCTCGTCGGGCTATGGAAGTCCGGGCGGGACTCCGCTGGCGAGTCCTCATTCACAGCCTCCAGGTTGGTTTTTGAAGCTAAAAGGCTAAAATTTCATTGCTTACTATTATTTAACAAAATAAAACAAATAAAACCATTAAATTTGGGCCTAAGAAATGTCTAAATTATACGTGAAAAATTCCAAACACGTATCAAACGGCTTAGTTTCTATTTAATGTAATAACTATAAACATATAGTTTAAATCAATTAAATTAAAGATAAACAAATAAAAACTTATATAGGAAACGTCGGCCTCCTCCCCATCCACGTGCAACGAGCGTTCCGCGATGCCGGCTACTCCATCGACATCGAGCCGCAACCGGCTTTTGGTGGGTCTAAAAATAGCTTTAATGTTTTGTATACCTTTCATTAATTTTCTGAGTAAAATTAGCGATTTTAACAACTTACAAAAGCTTAAAACGATGTTTTCAGCCCACGCCACCTCGGCGATGATGCCGCCAATCTCGCCAATCACCGCCGCCACGACGCCTGACAAGAAGAAGGTAGATTCTTTCGGAATTACTTACCTTAAAGCCTAAACTTACTGAATTGACTCTATTTTGTAATTTTTGTTGCTTAAAAACTTACATTTTACAGCCCGCCGCCGACGACCCGAACGGCCCGGCGCCGACCGAGGACGGGCTGTCGATGGACGATATTCGAGTAGGTTATTCGTAAAGATGAAGCCAGGTTAAATCCTGAATTTTGTATTTTATACCATAGCGTAAAAATAATAAAATCATCTTCCTTTTCCAGGCCTTCGAGCAACTGCTGTGCTCGCCGAAAAAGGCGCCGCCCAGCAAGTACCAGTGCCATATTTGCTACCAGAACGGCCACTACATCTCCGATTGCCCACAGGTGTGTAGCGGCGGTTTCAGCCTGAAAAAGATAACGCTAAAAAAACACAAAACATACGGGTTTTATACTTAAGAAGACCTAATATCATCTTCTTCTTCTTAAATACACCATAAATGTCGCGTGAAGATAGCCTAAAACGAGAACAGGACTATATAATACGAGAGATACATTCTTTTATTCTAAACATAATGTCCTACATATTATTTCTTCGTATACCTCCAAAAAACCCTATTCTTTTCAGCGCTTCAGCAGCGCCTACGACGAGCTGACCCCGTATCAGGGGCGCAAGAAGTGCTATGGGGAATTCCAGTGCCAACACTGCAAAAGGTGGGTCTGAAATATGTTCTTTTTTAAAAGAAGGTTTTAATAAGCCGTAGAAATTAAATATATCATATTTTAGAAAGTGGACCTCGCAAAACTCGGTGGCCAATGAGGCGCAGTCGTGCATCAAGTGCCACGTGCCCGTGTTTCCGCATAAACAGGTATATCTAAAATCTAAATATCAACATTAAGCTAATCTGATAAACCCTATCGGTTTCCTGATCCAAAATTTATTAGACTTTGTTTTCTAGGGGAAAAGGTTGCTTTTACTCAGGTCCCCGGGTCGACCCAAAATCCGGTTGTATTCCACCTGGATTTGGCGTGGAACGTATGGAAATCGGCTGGATTTCGGGTGGACGCACAGGGAATCGAGTGGAAACAGGACGCAACGCGTGCCGCACGCGACGCGGCAAATGGAAATCGAGTGGAAACCGGGCGGATCCGATCGATTTCCAAATTTACCGCGCATCCACCCGCAATCCGGTCGATTTCCACGTGGAATCCGGTAGCTCGCGTCCGCTACTGGAATTCCGATCGATTTCGCGAGCAGATGCAAACCGGATTTCGGGTGGATCCGAGGACCTGAGTAGGAAATCTATAGGAATCTAAAATAGTAATTTTCAAGATTACGTCAAAAAACTTATTAAATACGAGATAAATACCTCCATTTCTAGCTTCCGGTCGAAAAAGCTGTCACGCTCGGGCTGATCAAGCCGCAGAAGGCGCCGCCCACGAAAATCGCACCGATCGGCCATGGAAGGCCCCCAGCTGCCAAGGGAAAATGAGGTAAATAAAAGATATAAAGTTTAGCACGCTTAAAGCTAGTTATATAAGCTTAATACAACCCGAATTACCCCGGACAGCTAAAACTAAATCTTAGCGGCGCCTAAAACTCGTTTATATACGTTTAATAATGCAACCAGAATGACCTCGAAGAGCTAAAAAAGGCTTAATTGCAGCGCAAATCGCTTTATGTAGCCAGAATTACATCCAATGGCTAAAATAAAGCTTAATTGAAGCCTGAAAACTCGTTACATCAGCTTAATATAAAGCTAATTACCTCGAAAAGCTAGAAATATACCAAACATACCTTCCAGATTCTCCCATCAAGCCACATGCCAGGAGAAGCTGCCCCCGCAAATTGGACCTTGCATTCGACCAGCCAACAACACTCTCTGTAAAAAATGTCTTCAGTGTATTTGTGTGTATGCCCACTCAGTCGAAAGACGGTTATTTTGCCTCCCCCGTTCGCCCCCTCCTAGGATATTGATGATGCGGTAATGCGAACCTAAAGTAATGTGTATCTGTAAATTCGTCCCCCGCGAAAGTTATATATGTTCTCTCGCTCGCAACGGTTGTATTCCTCCAGTACCAAATCCCTCAACAAATCTTTCCAAACGCCCTCCCCGCACCTCACCCGGTTGGCCAACGCGCTTTTCTGATGTAAGTATTCCGTTCCGGAAGCGATTGGGAAGAAAAGCCGGTACTATTCAAGTTGGGAAGAGACGCTTTGCTCTGGAAGCCAAAAGTGAAGTCACGCCCGACTTGAAGCCTAAAGATCATAAAAGTTTTCGAAGCCACTAAAGTCTAAAAAATTCACAACAACGTCGCCAACTTGAATAGTACCGCAAAACTATCCCAAAGACACCACAAGCTTCCACTTTCCAATCACTTCAAGACCGTCCGGTGTGTTTCCTTATATTTGTGCTTCAAAAATAAACTTTTGACAAATTTATGAAAGCGTAACAGACGCGCACACAACGGGGCAATGTGTCACCTTTTTTCGTGGACGTGGGGGGCGTAAATTTTTGAAAGAACAACTAACAGGCTAAAGTGAGGCAACAGACAAATCAACAACACTAAACAACAAAATGTCAACGTTAGGCGGGGGGATGATGGTGGAATGAGAGGGCAGCAGGGGTCGGAGAGAGTGTGGCGGGCTTGATGAGATCATTACTCGTCGTCTTCATCCTCATCTTCGTCTTCCTCGTCGTCGTCGTCATCATCGTCCTCCTCCTCCTCGTCGTCGTCATCTTCTTCCTCATCGTCATCATCATCCTCGTCGTCGTCAGCATCACCCGCAGCAGCCAGTACCGGTTTCTTGACCTGGAAATGGAAAATTAGCCCAAAACATTCATTGTCAGCCGACTGTTCGTTCAGAAGAAAATTTGAACTTTATAAACTAAAAAAGCCCAAAAAACATACCTGTTTTGAGAGGGCCTTCACAACAGAGGGAGCCTCTTCGATTCCCTCGTCGCTGGAGTTGATCTCCTCCTCGTCCTCGTCGTCATCCGAATCAGCAACGACAGCCGGCACGGGGAGCTTCTTCGTTTCGACCTTCTTGGCCTTCTCCTTTGCCAGCTGCTTCGCCTTCTCGGACTCGGCTTTCCGCTCCTGGGCGACCTGCTCCGGCGTCTTCTTGGTGCGGGCGAACATCACGTCAACGGGCCGACCGCCGATCGTCAGCTTGTTGCCCTTCTCGAAGGCGGCTTGGGCTGCGTCCTCAGACCCGAACGTAATCCAGGCGCAACTAAAAGTGAAAGAGAATTACACGCTGAAAACTGTTAAACTCACGTTCGAGCCTTGTCCTTCTTCTCGTTGAGCATCTTGATATCGACGGCGGCGCGGAAGATCGTCCTCAACGACGCCTTGTCGGTGTGGGCGGGGAAGCCCTGGACGTAGAGCTGCAGAGGGTTGACCGGCTGCTGGTTAGGTGCTAAAAAAAAAGTAAAAATAATCCCGAAACAGCAAGTCACCTTTCAAGGGAGTGGTGCGTTGAGTTGCCTTCTTGCCACAATAGTCGACGAAGAGCTTCTCGCCCTCAATCTTCTTGTTCTGTAGAGCCTTGTAACCAGCCTCCGCGCCAGCTTCATTCTAAAAAAAAAGTACTTTATTATAAGAATTGTCGAAACACGACAGGAGCCGATGAAAAAACGCACCCTGAAGATCAACCAGCAGAATGTGTTGGCCTTCTTGGCGAGACGGACGGCCTCGATGTCCGGGTGAAGTGCTTGGAGCTCTTTCGCTGTCGTGTACTTGGGGAAATTTTTGATGAACAGCGAGCGATGATCCCTCTCCTCCCGTCTGCGCTCTTCCTCCTGATAGATCGATTGCACGTCGACCTGAAAAGTAAAAGTTTCACGAAAAATGTAAATATGTACCTTCGAAGCCTTCGCCGTGGGGCCACCCGAAACTTCCTCGGCCTTGCGCTTCGCGGCCATGGGCTGCTCGGGCTTGTTTTCCTTTCCTTTGCTGGTGACTGGCGTGGGTTCATCTTCGCTCTCCTCTTCATCCTCTTCCTCGTCCTAAAAACAGTAAGTTTTTACAAGCCCAGATTCAAACCTCATCGACCTCCTCGTCCTCATCTTCATCGTCTTCCTCGTCCTCATCAGAATCAAAGTGCAACGTCGGCTGCTTCTCGGTGGTTTGGACACCCTTCTTTGCCGGATGAGGTGTCGATGGGGTCTTATGAACCTAAAATTTGATGTTGAGAAAACACAGGTAGGCATACAGAAACTGGAGGTGTTGATACAGCGCTCAGATCCACGCGTTTCTTCTCAGAGGTGGCTGGGGCCGTTTTCAAGGCGGACTTAGGGGTGACGGGCGCGAGCTTGCTCTTTGCGAATTGACCGACGACGTCCTCTTCATCCTCTTCCTCTTCTTCGTCATCCTAAATCAAATGTTAATAAAAATAACTGAAAGCGGCAAGACGTAAATACAAAACAAAAGATCACCTCATCTTCTTCTTCACCGCTCTCTTCCTCATCTTCGTCCTCCTCTTCATCATCCTCATCCTCGTCATCGTCATCAGCGGGAGTAACAACTTGGGGTTGTTTACCCTTCACCGGTTGTTTGACGGCGACCTTTGACTTGGCTGGTGGGGCAATCTCCTCCTCCTCATCTTCATCATCCTCGTCACTGCTGTCAGCGAGAGGCTGCAGCTTACCGTTGATCTTGATTTGCGGGGGGCCATCCTCGTCCTCATCTTCCTCCTCATCGTCTTCTTCGTCATCCTCATCCTCCTCTTCCTCATCGCCCTCTTCATCCTCATCCTCGTCATCGCTTCCGCTGGCGAGGACGGGGCCTCCCTTCTTGGTTGGGACCTCGTCTTCCTCATCGGAGCCCTCCTCGTCATCCTCGTCAGAATCGTCCTCGGGAAGGCCGCCGTTCATGATCGGCTTGCGCTTCTTAGGCTCCTCGAAGTCCTAAACAGGTCATAGAATAATCGGATTTCCGTAACAACCGATATTCCTTTTGAACTCGCTCTAGTTACCCCCAAAGCGCGAAGTCGGCGCGCTGACCCCGAACCAGCCTACTATGCAGCAGTGATAACGCACGCCCGCCGAAGGCCAACAACAAAACAAGTGGACGCGATGTATACCCCGGGGTATATCAGCTGGCAAACCGCCAAATTTAAATAATTACCTCCTCGAATCCCTTCTTGCCCTTCTTTCCTGCCAACGGCGTCGTCGGGGCCGACTTGTACTTCTTGGTGGCCAAGCCTTCATCCTCCTCATCATCGTCAAACGTTTTGCGCTTGCGATCCGTAACGGCACCATCACGTCCGCCTCGGAAGCCGCCACCGCGTCCACCTCGGGGAGTGAAGTCACCGCGGCCGCCACGTCCACCACGACCGCCGAAGTCGCCACGTCCGCCGCCGCGCGGGGAGAAGCCACGACCTCCACGAGGAGAGAAGCCGCGTCCGCGTCCGCCGAAGTCTCCACGGCCACCACCACGAGGGGAGAAGCCACGGCCTCCGCGAGGAGAGAAATCGCCGCGACCTAAAAGATAATACGTCTCTGTCTAAAAAGAAAAACGCACCTCCGCCGAACTTTCCAGGGGAACGACCGCGGTCGCCGCCACGGAAGCCACCTCCACGATCGCCGCCTCGGAATCCGCCGCCGCCACGGTCACCTCCACGGAATCCACCGCCACGGCCCCGGAAGCCCATCTCGCCTCCGCCACCGCGACTCCCTCCACGAAATCCGCCGCCGCCGCGGCCACCCCTTGCTGGAGAATCGTAACCCATTCTGAAAAGGTAAGATTGTAAAGAGTAGCAGGATAGAAAACAAACAAACAAAAAAAAAACAAATTTTGAAATGACGAGAATGAGGTTGAGATGACTAACGAATAAATACGCGCGAAGTTTATGAAGAGGCCTGGATCCTCTGACTGTAATAAATGGGTCTGGGGTTGTAGAGAATGCTCAAAGCTCGAGATTTGCGAAAAAAATTAATCAAAAAAGAGAAAAAAGTTAAAATACAGTAACCCTAAAGTCATGCTAATCTACTCGGCAAAAGCCCAGAAGTTCCATAAAATAAAAATAAATAGTGTGTATAAAATTACGGGTTGTGAATTTCGAAAATAGAGGGCGTGTCTAGAGATTTTTGAAGTAAGCACAGCCCAGGAACCATTAAAAAACAAGGTTTAATAAACCATTCATAAACTTCAAAGGTTTTTGCCGAAAGGCAAGAGAGAGCGCCTCGTGTAAACCCAATAGAAGCAAGGTTGCCACCTTCTGCTTAAAGACTAGATAAATACTAACTAAGGCTAGAACTAGACTAGAAAAGGGTCATGCGGATTCAGGAATTCGACATGGAACTTTCTACAGTTTTTAGAGTGGGCCCTGTCATGAATATACTAGTCTATAAAGTTGAAAGAAAAACACAGAGGGGAAGTTCCCGGGTTTCCGCCGCCCGGCCGCCGGTACTTCGCCGGCATTTCGCCGCCAGGCCGCCGCCCGGCGGCCGCCGGCGGCCGGGCGGCGGCCGGGCGGCGGCCAGGCGGCGGCCGGCGGCCGCCGGGCGGGGGCCGGGCGGCGAAGTAGCGGCGGCCGGGCGGCGAAATGCTGGCCGCTACTTCGCCGGGATTTCGCCGCCTTATTGATTATTAACGGTTTATATTGTTAATATTCTCTTTCGAGTAGTATTCAGTGGTTTCTTCCTAAGGTTCTTGATCCATATCAAGCTGGAACTGGTGACGAAGGTCGCGTAGCCTGAAATATCGTTTATTTTGTTTACTGTTTTGATTTGTAGCTTAAAGTATTTAATTTTTAGTGGGCTGCACACCTCTTGCCAGAAATTTATGCTGCCAAAGAGCTTTGAATTTTGTTTCACTATTAATATCTTACTTCACCTACCCGGACTCACCATTGCTCACCTAGTCGGCGGACGCCGTCATCATCAGGCAAAGGGAATATCAGCCACCTGAAAGTTTATTTTGTTATTACAATAGCCACTGAATCTATCGATGCGAGTTGTTGATCGAACTTACAGGCAGTGCGTGTGCGGGCTAATCATTATAACCTGATCGATGGTTATTAGTATTCAAAAACATCACACACGCAGACAACTCATCCTCAACAACTCCGAAACTTGTCTAAACTTACAGCTTGTCTATTCCATCGGCTAGGACAATCTCATATAACTACCAACGATCAAAGGAAATGTTATTCTACACAGGCTCAGCTTATTTTGAACACTAAAATCCCCAAAAAATTCGATTTCCTCTCAAACAATGGAATTTTCATCAAGCCAAATGCACAATTGAAACGAATCACATGGGAAAGTGCCAGTTTTTGCAAAAACAAACAAATTTGTGTGTAGAGAGCCTAAAACTATAATCAAACCTCCTACCGGATGATCATATGACACTTTCCTAACGGCTAAATAAACAAAACGATAAAAACTTACCGATAATTATCTGCCAGGAACTCAAAAACTTACTAATGCTTGTTCTCTGTTGCCACATATACCCTCTTTGCTAAAAAACTAATTAACTCCTACCTGCCATCAGCATTCTAAAAGATTTCGAAAGTTTTTCTAGCTGTATCTTCAACCTCAGTGACTTGAGGCTAAATTCATCATAATCCTTGAGAATTGTCGTAATTTTCGTATAAAACTAGTTCGTCCCAAGAGCAATTGATAAAATACAAATTATTACAAGTAAATTGAGAAAATTGGAGAGAAAACTAAGTAATTTTGGAGAAATTGTGAAATTCAAAAAATAATGCGCGTTTGAGCTAATTGTCCGTGGCTTTCCTATCGACGGCGGCGAAATCGCGGCGAAGTGGCGGCGGCCAGCCGGCCAAGTCGCGGCCGCCGCGATCTGGCACTAGCCGCCCGGCCGCCGGGTTTTCGCCGCTCTTTCGCCGACACGTCCCGGCGAAGCAGCGGCGAAGTCCCGGCCGCCGGGCGGCGAGAGCCAAATCGCGGCGGCCGGGCGGCGAAAACCCGGTAGATTTCCCTCTGTGAAGAGAAGAGGCAAAAATAAACAGCAATTTTCGGAAATTGAAAAACTCAACAAGATCACCACGCGAAAACTAACGCATTTTTTCGACAGCACTTTTTGGGGGCGATTTGAAAAATTTGTGGTTGCCCTCGGTTTTGTGGGGGGAAGGGCTGCCACGCGGGACCCGGCTGGCAATTTGCCAGCACTTGCCTCTTCCGTGTTCCAGCCAGCCGAGCGCAGGAAATCCGGTTCTTTCTCCGCGCATGCCCTCATTTTTTGTATAGAACTACCCGGGAAAATTTATAAAAATTGACACGATTTTTAGGATACATAGGTATGGTTTCCTAGACACCGAAAAATCTACTCGGCCTGGTCATTTAATATGTAAAACCCGCACCTATCGTGTTATTGTATGAATTACCCTCATATCCTCCAATAACGACTCAAAGGGTGCCAACATCTGTCGATTGTGTCAATTGGGGTGCAGTACGGCGTGAAAACAATGGCGGGGCAGTGCCTGGGGCGTTGGAAAGGGGTTATATGCATGAAAAATGGGTCCAGACAACTCTCTGGTTCTAATAAAACTAATTTTGTTGCTTTTTTAAGTTCTTCTAATCGTTCTATCGATACTTAATCGTGTATAAAATTTTGTTTGGCTAAAGAAGCGTTGCGATTTTCCGTTATCGCAACATTGTCGCAAAACGGCTCAAACACGGCTCTAATTCTAATAAACCAGTTTTTTTTACTCTATTTTCGCCTTGTTAAATTCAATTGCAGGCTTTAATCTGAATTTTAAAGCAAAACGCGTGGTTTCTCTTTTTTTGCGCATAAAATCTGGGTTCCGGTCGTTCTTTCTAAAATCCTGGATTTTTTTGCTGGGCAATCTGTTCGACCTTATTGTTCCTTTCCTTTTTGTTTGTTTTACTTGACGCTAACTACAATTTTTTCAGGTCAGGATGTTGAACATTCGCGTGGCCACCCCGGACGACCTGATGAACACGCAGCACTGCAATCTGCTGTGCCTGCCCGAGAACTATCAAATGAAGTACTACTTCTACCACGCCCTCTCTTGGCCCCAGCTCTCCTACGTTGCCGAAGACCAGAAGGTGTGTTGCTTTTGCAAAGGACTACAAATTTCGGCCTTTTCAATATTTATGAAGGTCCCGCGGAAAGATCGCATGAATCTGGCATTTCTAATCCTTCTGGGAAAGTCTTTTCTTTTTGGGTTCAAATTTCAAGCTCGTAAGAACTCAAATTTGCCAGCGCGGTGCAACAAAAATCACCCCCGGCTTCAGCGCAGTTGGCAATGTTTATTTAGGCTTGTTCCGGCAAAGCAGGCCTCTCATCCCGTTTATTCACATCCGCTTATTATATTTCAAGAGACAAATTTTTGGTCCTGGCGTCTAACGAAAGGTTTTTGGAAAGTTACAAATTTTGGCAAAAAAAAACGAATTGGTCAAAAGTTATGAATTTTTTTGATGAATGTTCGGGACTTCAAAGTAAAGTAAAAAAAATGTCCTCGGTCCTGCTTTCAATCACAACCTTTTTTTCAGGGCCAAATCGTCGGCTATGTGCTGGCCAAGATGGAGGACGAGGGCGAGGATGAGCCCCATGGTCACATCACTTCCCTGGCGATCAAGAGGAGCTATCGACGATTGGGTGAGTGGTCGCCTTCAATTTTTAATTGGCTTTTTCCAGGGCTGGCCCAAAAACTCATGGACCAGACGGCACGAGCGATGATCGAAACGTTCAACGCCTATTACGTGTCGCTACACGTGCGCGTCAGCAATCGAGCCGCCCTCAGCCTCTATCAACACACGCTCAAGTTTGAGATTATGGAAGTGGAGCCAAAGTGAGTGCTTTATATATAATGTCGTAACATTAAATATTGTATTTTTAGTGAAATTTCCCTATAGCTCAGCGGAAAAGAATAGTTAGAAAACCTTAAAAAGGTTAAAAGTAAAATTTTGGTCAAAAACCGCTCATTTTTGGTTGAGAATGGATGGTTGAATTTTTGGCGTATTTTATTGTTCGTCTTTCCAGATACTACGCCGACGGGGAAAACGCCTACGCCATGCGACGTTGCCTGTTCAACTTTGCCCGATTGCACGACGTCGACCCGGCCGACCCGGAAACATTCTACGCCCGCGAGAAGTTGGAAAAGGAGCGGGAAGAAAAGAAGAAGCGGCGCGAAGAGGAGGCCGCCGCCAAGGCCGAAGCCGAGAAGGAAAAAGCCTAAACATTTGCTCACGTCGCCATTTGTGTCTTTTTTTTGTTTGAAGTGATAGTCGTTGATTTGTGGGGGTACAGATCTCTATTTGTTTGTCTGAATAAATCGTTGGTTTTTCATATTCCTGCGTGGTTAGCATCATGGTTTTGAACCAATTTATCGGTATCCGAAGGAATAATGGAAAAAATACGGAGATCTTAATCGCAATATTTTTCAAACTATGCTGTTTGAGGCAGAAAAGTCGATCAAAAATCGTAAATTCCATGTTTTTGCAGTTAAACCTACACACTAACAACAAAACTTGATGAGTCGGGATGACGAAAAGCACGGACTTGAGCTCCAGGTGCACCAACATGTCAGTTTTTTTACGGTGAAAGTATAGAAATGACGTAAAAAATCGTCAACAAATAAAAATTCTATTTCTCGCGTTTAGGTGGACCAGGGGATCTCCGATCTCAGCCGCATGGCCCAGTCGATAGCCCAAGCCGATGCGAACAAACGGCCCCATGGGTAACGCCAAAATTGAAAGCATTAAATTTCTATTCAGCGCGGAAGCATCACGGCTGCGCTCCAGCTCGAACATCTCCAACATGCCGAATCACGAGGAGATCGCGCCGGCGGAAAGTAGCTACGTGCTGTTTTTGCAGGCTAGAATTGAAAAGCGACGGCTTACGATAATTTTAGGTCATCTTCCCGTTCACGATCGCGGGCGTTGGGATGGTGTTCGCCGGGACGGTGCTGGACCTCGTGCAAGCTTGGCCGCTGTTTCAGCAGGTAATTTGAAAGCGGGAGACCAAAAATCAACGGTTTTTAGGTCCCCGAAACGTTCATCCTCGTCCCAGCTTTATTGGGACTCAAGGGAAACCTGGAAATGACTCTGGCGAGTAGACTATCGACATTGGTGGGCCTTCGAAAATGATTTTAATTACATGTCGTAACTAGACAACCGATAGAAACATATTTTTAGGCTAATCTCGGCCACCTCGATTCACCAAAACAACGCTGGGACGTGATCAAGGCGAATCTGGCCCTGATCCAAGTCCAAGCCACTGTCATCGCTTTTCTCGCATCGGCGTTTGCGATAATGTTGGCCTGGATTCCGAATGGTCATGTAAGTTTGTCTATTTTTTTGGATTCTTTTTTGAAAATACACATCAAATGTTTTATAGAAGTTTCTAGCTAAATTAATGACAAACATTTACATTAAATCGTTGAAAATAAGAAAAACGATATAACAACCAATTTTTAGATAGATTGGTCGCATGCCGCGCTTCTCTGTGCCTCCTCCTTGGCGACGGCCTGTTCTGCATCACTCGTCCTATCGCTTCTGATGTGCGCAGTCGTGTTGGCCTCCCGGAATCTGCACATCAACCCGGACAATGTCGCGACTCCAATTGCCGCTTCATTGGGAGACTTGACGACGCTCGGGGTAAGCTAGACTTTCTAGAATACTTAAAATACATTATTTTTGATCGAAAGTCTATATTTTCGTATTTTTATAAAACTGTGTTTTGTACGTTTGGCCAGGAATTTTTCAAATGTGATACATTGAAACGCTTAAATAAATGATCAATTCAGGTTCTCGCCCTGTTCGGCTCGATCTTCCTGAACGCGCACGAATCGGAGTCGTGGCTGAACGTCGTCATCGTGCTCATCTTTCTGCTGTTGGCGCCGGTGTGGTTGCGCGTGGCCAAGAAGGACGAGGGGGCGGTTGAGGTGATTTTTTTTGCCGTCTTTGTGATAAGTTGTAAGACTTTTTTATCATTATGGTAAATTTTTAATTATTGAATTTAGGTCCTCGCGACCGGATGGAGCCCCGTAATCGCGGCCATGCTCATCTCCTCGGGTGGCGGCTTCGTGCTCGAGCGCGCCATAAGAACCTTCCCAGCCATCGCCTCTTTTCAACCGGTGATAAATGGTGAGGTTTTCTGTTTTTGAAAAGTTGGTTTTAAATGCTTTGTAAATACATGAAAATCCGGACCATTAATTGATTATAAATGCTTCGGCAAATTCTAAATCGTTTTGCTACATTTTCGTTCCAGGAGTCGGTGGCAACCTCGCTGCGGTCCAAGCGTCGCGTCTTTCTACCGCTTTCCACCAGCTTGGCGTCGTCGGGGAGCTGCCGCACGGCTGGGTGTCCGGGCGATTTTTGTCGATCAAGCGAGCCTTCTTCACTAAAGGTATATAAACGAGATATTTTACCATTTTAGCCTGTTTTCTTGGACTATTTTATGAGTCAAAATCTGGCTTCTTGTTTTTGTCGGCTAAAAATGCGAATAAACAGATATCGTAAAATCTATTGCCTTTTTTAGAATGGGACTCACGCTCGGCCCGTGTTCTGCTCCTGCTCGTCATCCCCGGGCACATGTTCTTCAACTGGATGATTGCCGTGCTGCACTCTGGCGCTGATCATCCGCCGAACGGGCCCCTCTTCACGACGTTCTATCTGATTGCGGCGTTTGCGCAGGTGCGTCTCTCTCTCTCTCGCTCTCGCTCTCTCTCTCTCTCTCTTTCTTCTAATATCGATTTTTCAGGTGATGATCCTCCTCTGGACCTGCCAGTGGCTTGTCGCCTGGATGTGGGGCCGCGGCATCGACCCTGACAACGCAGCCATCCCCTACCTCACGGCCCTGGGTGACCTTCTCGGCACCGTGCTCCTTTTCCTGGTCTTCATCGCCATCGACGGGCTGAAGGAGAAGAGCGTCCTCGTCGAGGGGTAGCGTTAAGTACTTTTTTCTGTGATTTTCCGGCTCTTTTCGGCCTCTTTTAACTTTTAGATACTTTCGCGGTATATTCTCACTTTCCTAACCAGTCATAATTCCCCACACACTGTGATTTGGCATTTACACGATTCGACGCCTTTTTGCTGGGTTTACTATCCCCGTTTCATAATGCCTTTTTAGATTTTCTGGGGGATTTAAGGGGCTGGCAACTTTTGATTTTTATCTTTTTTAAACTTTAAAAATTAATTTTACGTGGAATTTTTGAGTTTTAGGTTTTTTTACGCTCCAAAATTGATGTTTGCATGGTTTTTTTCACGTTTTGCTTAGGTATTTGAAAGTTACCGATCCCTTTAATCCCGCCTGTACCCATCCCAGCTTCACGTTGTGACAATTCTGACGCTTTAGTTTCCACACCTCTTCGATTTGACAAAACAACATGAAATTGTTTTTTTAATTAATTTTAGCATTTTGCTTGAAAAACCTAGTCCTTTTCCCCACACTCACACATGCATAAGTATTTTTCGCGGTTCTTTCAAATCGTTCACTTTTTTAGGGTTGATTTTAAGGCGTTTTTCGCTGCGTCTCTCGCTCGCTCTGTCTCTCTCTCTGTGTTATCTCTCGCTTTCTCTTTTTCTCTAACTCTCGCTGTGTTTTGCAACCTCTCGCTTTCTCTGCTTTCTAACTCTCTGCGTTAGACTATCTCCCACTCGCTGTGTTATAAAATCTCTCTTTATCTCACTCTTTCTCTTTCTCTTCTCTCTCTCTCTCTCTCTCTCTCTCCTTCTCTCTCTCTCTCCCTACGTCTCTGCAGCTGCCCAACCAAAGTGTGCCTTCTGTGCTAAATCCCCCCAACGGCTGTGATTACGTTTGCCTTTTTGGTGTGTGTGCTGAGCTTTCGTAGCAATAATAATTTAATAATTTTTTTTATTCATCCTTTTAAATATATTACGGTAGCATCATCTTCAGATATACAAAAACACCATAGAATTGAAGAGCAAAATCGGTAGTGTGAGATCACAAGTCGAATCGAGAGATGTGTGGCGCGCACGCGGCGGAGACCCGAGAGTTGGCTGCGATTTTTTTTTGGGATAAGCTCGAAGGTATGCAGATTTAGAGAGAATTGAATTAGCAGAGGGGTTTGTAATGGATTTTTCCATAGTGTAATATAGACAGCGTAGTTTTGTATAAAAAATAACTGGAAAAGCTTTCTTAAAATTGCAAACTATTCAACTTGCCAGAATCACATTCAACTTGTTTTTTCCTTGTTTCTTCTTTCTTGTTTTTCTATTCAACTTGTTTTTTTCCCCCCGATCTATTTTAGAGTTTTACAGATTTAATCGAGATTTTTTAGGGAAAATTTGAAATTTTCTTCGATGTAGCGAATCTAAAGTTGTTAATGGTTTTTCGGGTTTTTTTATAGAATTTTGTAGTATATTTCATCTTTTTTAGCTTCTAAGCCCGCCAGAATTTAATTGTGCCAGTTTTAGAATAACATACAAAATTATAAAGACTCCAAAACACCTATTTACAACTGATATTGCACGTTATTGTTGTTGCTCCCATTCGGTGATGGTGAAAAAATGTTAAAGGGAGAGGATGAGCGCGGGGTGAAATTGTAGTAGCCACGGAATGAGAACCTTCCGGCTGCTGTAGATACTGATTGAGGCGAATGTGGGGTATCTGAGAGACGATGAGACGCCGATCGGACCACGGCGGAATGGTTGCCGGGTGAGGGACACAGTGCCGTCGTGGATTGGGCAAGGGAGGCGCTGAAATCGGTACTTTAAAACAAAGTGTAAATTTGAAGAAGGTTTTATACGAATTTTATATACCATTTTGTACAGCTTGAGCTGCTCTATCATAAGAGAATTATAAGGAAGCTTTAAATCGTAAGATTCTCGAGATACAGACAGCACAAAAATTTCGATTGCCGCAAAATATTTTTAGAGCCATTTTCGCAAAACTGAGTGGTTTTTGTCATATTTTGAGCATTCCATTCGAAAGCTCTGAAAAAGAAGGTGCGCCCAGAGCTTTAGTTTTTCAGAATTGAGCTATTTTTGACCACTTTACGGGCATCAAGCTTGGCAAGGCTAACAGCTTTAATTTTCCTAATAAAGGACGTTTTATATAGGTTGGTATCTTTTAATCCTTTTAATTTCTACAAAAGTAGAATTCTCACTTCATCCTCGTCGAATTTCCCCCATTCGCCTGGCGCTCAATCTGCCAGATGTAGAGGATGACGATGGGGAATTGGCAGAGGTAGAGAAGATAAAGAGCGGCGTCCAGATAGAAGTACGTTTTTGCGAAGTAGGACGAACTGAAAATATGCGTTAGTCGCTCTCTCTCTCTCTCACTCTCTCTCTCTCTCTCTAAATTCACCAACCTGAGCCCGTAGATCTCGTCCACCACTTGTAGCGTGTAATGAGGAGCATTAAGGGCAGCCTGAATCGTCGCCATTCCCAAGCATCTTCGGATTGCTGCTTGGCGTCGTCGTTCTTGGGACTGCAATGGAGTTTTTGATAACTCTCTCTCTCTCTCTCTTTCTCTCTCTCTCTCTCTTTCTCTCACCTCGATCCCTCGACTGCTCTGGATCTTCAGGCTTTCTGCATGATTTTTCGAGCTCTTCCGCTTGGCCAGGCCCTCGACGGTGATCAGGGAGAAGCTGAAAAGGTATGAATTTTACCGAAAACGCTTCTCTTTCCATCTCTCTCTCCCATTCTCGCTATCCTGCTCTCTCGCTCTCTCTCTCTCTCTCCAACATGGAAGTTTTGGCATGTGTGAACTTCTACTTTTCTTTTGGTCCCTAGAACTCGCAAAACCCGTTAGCTCGGATAGAATCTGGTCTCGCCGGGCCCTTCATTTTGGCCCCGCTAGGGGGTGTAATTAGTTTCCGCGCGGAGTCAATGGCTGAAATAACGTGACCCCCACCACCAGCGAGAGGTCCGCATTTCCCGGGGCTTATGCCCTTGGTGGGGCGCCTAATAGAATTCGCGGTTTTTGAGGGTTGATGCGAGAGAGGAGAGAGAGAGAGAGCGAGCGAGAGAAACAGACAGACAGAGAGAGAGTGAGAGAGAGATAGAGCGAGAGAAAGGGAGTGAGACAGAGACAGAGATAGCGAGAGAGAATGAGATATTGTTTCGTACTGCGATCCGATCCCCAAAAACGCGCAACCCGGCAATGTCTATATTTACTGCTTCGCCGACACGTAGGCCCCATTAACGGTCCGGAAACACCTGTAAAAAAGTGTAAAGCGTACCCAGAAGTTCGATAGTTCCACGTCAACACGGCCATGTCGGTCGCAAGCGTGGCCAAGAAGGGCAGCACGTAGGTGGCCACCGCTTCGCCGACGGCCACCATCTGGAAGCCGCGCTCACTGAAAAAAGCAGATCAGATTAAAGGTACCAGGAAGCCAAGAATATATAAGATTAAAGGTACCCTAAGCCGATAGATTACGTAGCGTAATCGGTTCAAAAAGACAGCAAGGAATCTCTGCTAGCTTACCCTATAAATTTACATATCGTAATAATGGCAAGAAAAAAATTCTCCAAGGTACGGACCGCTGCTACTCTTCTCTGTTCTATGCTAGCTTGCCAGCTAATATTTTATGCCATTTCACAATTGGCCTAAAAAGCTCCGGAACTAATGTTTTTGTTTGATCACCGTTTTCAATATACCTATCGCATTCTCAAAGGATCACTGCTAGTTTGCTCTGAATCATGGGCCTCAACGCTTTTTGAAAATCTCTGAAATGGGCCAAAAACGTACTCCAGCCACCGCTCATCCCTCTCGCACACCACCAGCCCTCCCTCGATGTCCTTCTCGGTGATGAGGAGTAGGGCCCAACTCTGTAATACTTTTTGATTTTTTGAACACTAGTGTACTAGGTAATACACTTTTCTGATTACTTTTTCAGCCAAATATAGCCCGGGGGAGGCGGGGGGGTGGTAAATATTTGTCTGGCTCAACTTTTGCAGATGCAGCCGCTATGTAATTCAGCCAATTCAGGCTCATACATGACAATTTTTGTCTCAATAGAAAGCCGAAAATTGGCCAAATTGAGGGCGAAAGTGCCGGAGTAAGAGCGGGAGAGCGAGCGAGAGAAAGATACAGAGATAGAGAAAGAAATACATACCTGAGTCACTGAAGAAAATATCAAGTTGATCAACAGCAGCTTTTTGCTAGAGTGCAAGACTCCGAAGAGACCGGACTCCATTCTCTAGAAAACAAGTATTTTTGAAAAATTTGTTTATTTTAGCAATTCATCCTCAAAATAATCGAAATTCAGGAATGCAGCAAAATATTAGTTTAAATACGTGAGAATTTCCTGGTTTTGTGCTCAGCAAAATCGAGGAGTACAGGCCAAATTGCGAAAAATGCCGTGAAAAATTCGAAAAGATTTGCTTATGTTGATGGCCATTAAGTAAATTTTGTCGTCGTTTATATTCCATATTCCATACCTTCATTGGAAAGAAAACGATCGCAAATCGCTGCACAAACATCAGCACCCAGGTCCAGTTGACGAACGTGGCGGCGACGTTCGAGAAGAAGTGCATCGCTTTGCATAGCAATGGGCCTGAAATGATGGTTTTTAAAGGTACAGTGCCGTCATAATATACACACCGAATTTGGGATTGTGATTTAGATGTTGAAAGAGACAGTTTGAGCCATTTGAAAGCCGGTAGAATTGCCATAAAACGTATGGGTTACGGGTTATCGTGTTGCATGCATTCAATCGGTGCTAAACTGAGGAACTAGCTTGTTTTGTGCAGGGGTGAGTTGAGCTTGATTATGGTAGATTAAGTGCAAAATAGCCATGCAAGGTTTTGGCCAACACACAGCCCAGGCCTACCAATTATTGCGGCGAGCGATTCGACTAAAAATTGCGGAAATCAAGCGGATAAATTGAGGAGTTTTCAGGCTTCAAGTTCAAGCCTCAAGCTCACGGGCTCAAGCCAAGCTTTAGATGAAGAAAATTAGCGGAAATCAATGAGCAAATGCGGAATTGAGCACGAGCATTGATTAGCGAAAAATTAGAGAAAAATGCCGTAAGGAATAAATTGAGGAAATAAGCGCGAAACGAATAAACCAATATTGGTGAGTTTCCTATCAAAGTTATTTTGTAAGCGAACTAAACATAACTTTTTTATAGATAAAAGAAAAACTGATAAAAATTGAAGCTACAAGCTACAAAAGGTTCTAAAAGCAAAGAGTAGTCTTCAAAACTACATAAAAAAGCGTCTAAAACTTATTAAAAATTCTAATCCGGATTTCGACAAGCTTTATCTAGCTGGGACAAAGGGAACGATTTAAAAGTGATGATTTTTTTGTTAAGCAAACTAGCGTCAGGAAGCTTTAAGCAAAAAAAAAAACAAATTTCTAAGCGAAAACACGCTAAGAAAGTAAATTTGATACAGTAGATAGACCTACCTTTCATCAACGGGAATAACGTTTGTGAGAGCAGCTCCAGTAAGATGATGATCAGCATCGCCAGATCTGCGCAGACGATTGACATCAGGAAGAGGAAATAATGGGAGCGACGGATGCGGAGGACGATGCCCAGGGCTACGAGCAGCACCTAGAAACGATCGATTGATCGAAGCTGACCAAAAACCTAGGACGTTGCCTTTCCAGGCCCTTGAATCGATTGTTAATATTCTGTGAACAACAAATTAAATATCCCACTCACCAGCACCGATAAAAATGCAAAGATGAGCACGAGCCAGTACTGTATCCGCGAGACGAACATCCATGTTTCGAGCTTGTCGTCGCTGGATACGTCCATTTTCTGAAATTATACCGTCACGATTGAACGGAAGCAGGAGAAGCGTATGAAAACCAAAAGAATGAAAAAAGACGAATAAGGAAAATAAGAATTAAAACATTTTCCGGGTATGGAGGGTTCCGAAGAAAAACAAGACCACATGATCGGAGAAACTTGATATTTCCAGTAATCGCGTATTCCGCAAAAACGGAACGTTTCGGAGACCTGAACAACCACGGAGCGCAGAATGCAGCCCACATGTGACAATCTGATAAAAATGGGAAATTTAATGGGCAGAATCGCACAAAAAAATCTGGACCTGAAAATGCCCAGGAGACATCACGAGAAATACGATCAAGTCCAGGCATAATCAAACTTAAAACGACTGTTTTTGGGTATTTTGGCTGTTTCGCCTAACTTTATTTCGCTGGATTTTGGTCCACAGCTTCGATAGTGCAATTTTCTGATCACTCCAGCTAGACGGTGCTTTGTCTAAAATCGCCTGAATCTGAATCCAGTGGTACGTCACGAACACGACAGGTGTTTTCCGAGATTGCAGTGTATTTTTTTAATAAATTGGTCGTAGATTCCGGGAGACACCTGAACACGCGCGCTAGACAGCCAAAGTGCAAAAAACCATCCGCAGAGATAGGGTACTTTTCAGGAAATGCGAAAGGCCGGTTGTTACCACTGCTTTTAAAGACATAGCGCCAGCTAGGTCTCAAAATCCGGAATTTTGAAAGAAAAAAATGAGAAAAAAAGACACCGTTAACCGTCCAAAAAAAGTAAGAAAAGCCGGAAGTCCCAAAATCAGAAAAAATATTTGGAACGCAAGTAAGTTGTGAACGCACAGCATAAACTTTGTTTTCGCCCCAGCAACGTCGCTCTACCCACGTTTTTTTTGGTCTAGGGAAAGGCCAAATTTGCCTCCGGAAGTTTGGCGTTTTAGGTGCGGCAGGACAGGGGAAGGAGTTCGTTTGGCCTGACTAGATTGGTAGTGAGGCAAAAACGAGCTTCAAAAGAAAAAAGGAAGACAAAGAAAACACTACAAGAAGCATTGACCCTTTCTTAGGCTTAGCTTGGGCTTAGCTTAGGCTAAATTTAGGTTTGGCCTAGGTTTAGCTTAGGCCTAGCTTAGGCTTGGCTTAGGCCTAGGTTCAGACCTAGGCTTGTCATAGTCAAATCAATACATGTCTTCTAAAACGCAACCTCTAGCTACCGTAGCCCAGTCAAAAACGCCTCGAGATTTTGGTCTCGACCAGAGACAATGGCTTCTTTAGGCTCTGATTCGATTCTGGTCCCGGAAAAATTTCAGGAGAACAAAAAAATTGACCCCCTGAAAAATGGGGCTCATTTTCGAGGTGAGGACGAGCAACGCATTGAAAAACAGAAAAAAAGGGAACAGGGCGGTGGCCTCTGATAGAAAAATGCGGTAGATTTCCATTTGCGCCCGGTCCCTTTTTGGGTGCTTTTGAGGGGCCTAGGGGGGCCTGTGGACCCGTAGGCCCCTCATTAGGGCATACATGTGGAATGGCCACATTCCAATGTGTGGCCCCTCCGGTGTTTGTGGCCCAGAAAGAGCAGCACCCGGGGGCTGCGGCGCCCCGGAAATTTTTGATCTGAATAGAGGTACGTGTGTTCTAGCTGGGAGTGACTTTCAAAGGACCCGGAAGCGTTGGACTGGGAGGGCAAGCTAGCAGCGATGATTGTGGAATTTCCATTATTGCTCCTCGGAGGCCTAGACCCAGGACGAAGCCTAACCCAAGCTTAAACCTAAGCCTAAGCCAATCCGAAGGCTAATAATAAGCCTAAACCTAAGCCTAAGCCTAAGTATCAGCCTAAGCCGCAGCCGAAGCCTAAGTCCAGGCTTAAGCCTAAGCCCAAGCCTGGGCAAGACAGACACGACAATAAAAACCAGGCAATTATTAGAATGTAAATCATGCAGGGCAAGCTAGCAAAGGTCTTTGAGGAAATTACAAATAAATAATAATAAATATTTTGAAAACGAAAAGCTGGGCGTTGCCCGAAAAATAGTTTGCAAATATTATTTGCGCATCGGAATTATTGGCTGGCTATTTCGGGGCGGGGGTAGACATAGAAAATGAATGAGTGTTTACTGGAGGGCAAGTTAACAAAGATCTTTATGGAAACAAATAGCGGTAGCCAAAAAAAAGCGAGGCTCAAGAGGCCATACTAGCAGTGGTCATTCAGGAAACGACATCAAAATTATTTGAAAAATAGGAGGATCAACACCAACGGAGGCCTTTGATGAATAAGACAGACAAACACGAGCCGAGAATTAGGGCAAGCTGGCAAGGTACTTGAGGAATTTCTGGAGTCACATGCGCTAAAAGTATAAGCGAACTAACTACTCGTAGAAGTTGTAGTAGCTAAAAGATTCTGAACGATAAGGGTAGGCTAGCAGAGTTCGTTGTCAAGGCGCCGATCAGCGTGAGATGCGGCAACACAGGTCAATGCATCCACCCGAAATCCACTCGGAATCCCCGAGGGGATCGAAGGGGATTCCACTAGCTGACGAGAGTGGATTCCACGTGGAAATCGAGTGGATTCCGGGTGGAACGCATGGAAATCGAGTAGAAGCCGAGCGGATCCGGTTGGTTTCCACTCGATTTCCAATAGCCGCGTCGCATCGTGGTGCGTCGCGTCGCGTTTCCACTCCATTTCCACTGCGTCCACCCGATTTCCACCCAATTTCCATGCGTTCCACCCGAATTCCAGGTGGAATCCACACGGAATTTGGGTGGATGCACGGACCTGTGAAACCAGGCAAACTAGCAGAGATCTTACAAACTTACCATATACCTTGTAGGTAAATCATTGATGTTTGCCGTTGTAATCTGCCCCCATTAAGGAAATTCTCGAAAATTCACAAATCTTCAAATCTGAATTTCCGGTCCCCGGGGAGGGCAGTGTTTTGAGGCAACGGCCACCCAGGGAAAATGGTTCCCAAAATTCCTATCCCGCCCATTCATACGTTAAATGGGAGCCGTGGGGCGTTCAAAATTCAGACTTTTTATCTTTTTTGAAAATTTGCAGTTTTTATTCACGAGCGGATAAATTTGTTTGTGGATCATGCCAACGCATCATCGAGAAAAATGTAAAAATTCTTAATTTTTTCATAACGGGTAGGCGGTAGGAATTTAGAAACTACAGAATAAACCGCTCATAGAAAAATATGTCTTTAGTTAATTTTAAATCCGTAAAACTGTTTGAAAAATTGCTAAATCTTTTGTCGAATTTATTCGTTAAAATGCTAATTCAATTCGTAGAAAATGACCAAATTTGTTGCCAAATGCGAAAATTTTCGGAAAAGTCGAGCGAAATTTTAATTAGTGTCCATAACATTTTAAAGTTTTTAAAGTTGATCAAATTCGGTAAGAAAAACTAAATTTTGGAAGTAGAAGATAATAATCGAGACGAAAAAAGCAGCACGTGAAAATTTATAAAATTCTAAATATACTTCTGAAAGTACGACCAGGTTCTCCGAGTGTTTTCTGTAAAGCTGCCCTCACGAAGGGTAGAGACCCCCTAATCTCTGGATACCGAGGATTCTGGGCATTAATGACTACTGTAGAGGCAAGGAGGAAAAAAGGAGGGTCCGCCACCAGATTACAGTCCTTATGACAGCGTTCTCTCGGAAAGCCCCAACCTGAAGAAAAGGATAAGTGCAGCGTTTTGTAATCGGCTCAGCATGTCTTAGCTTTTTTAGGTTTTATACTAAACGGGCAGGTCTAGGCTCAGATTTTGTCGAGCTTCTCGAAAACGCGTGCTGGAAAAAATAAGCCGTTTGCTTTTTTATGCTTGGCACTTTTTATTTTGGCCACATGCCGTGGAATTCCGAACTTTTTTGTAGTAGGCGTGGAAAAATGCAGGGTGGAATCAGAGATCAGAAAAAGAAGATTGAATTTTGAGTGGAAGTTCGTTACTTCCTCTCTTTCAAGATCTTTATCTCTCTCTCTCTCTCTCTCTCTCTCTCTCTCTCTCTCTCTCTCTCTCTCTTTCGCTCTCTCTCCATCTCTCTCTCTCTCTCTCTCTCTCTCTCTCTAGCTTTCGCTCTCTCTCTCCCTCTCTCTCCCTCTCTCTCTTTTTCGCTCTCTTTTCTCTCTCTCGGAATGGATTGAAAGTCATACTGTAATATCGACCGACTTGCAAAAAACAGCACTGTCAGAAAGAGCGAGTAAGGACAATTCTCAAAAGTCACGTCTCCTAGCCAATCGAACAGTCCGATGAAGTTGAAAAAATGCAACAGGGGTCGCTAATTAGAGATACACCCTCGCTCCACTCATCCATGGCGCTTCCCAACTAATTTCAGGGTTTACCAATTGGGGCCTCTCTTTTCCCGGAGGACACAAACCACGGAATCTCTTTCTCTGTCTCTCCGTCGCTCTCCTGCGATAACCAGTATTAATCCCTAGAGGATGGGCATATCAAGGTAAAATATTCAACGAGCAGGGAGAGGCGCATCTTTTAGAGTTGAGAGAGAGAGAGTGTGTGTGTGAGAAATAGGGGGACCCTAACTTTAAAGTTAACCAGGGTTGAAAAGCCGCTACGCGGCTTTTCACCCCTGGCCTTCGCGCACGGAACTCTCAAAGTTGGGCACTTTGCATAATTCAAGCGAAGAGCGAGAGTGAACCCAAAAATGGTAAAAGCAACCGGCCGCTAGCGCGACAAAATTCGAAATGAGCCTCCTACCGCCTCGTATGCAAATGAGGATATTTCCATATGTTTTAAAAACACTAAAATAAGGTATAAATCATATTTTATTAAAAATCTGATAAGCTTGCAGTAATCTACGCCCTCGACTACCCCTAAATACTTTTCGACTGGGTCCTAAAATTGATACCCGTTCCCGATATCTTGGTAACCCGGCTTTTTCGAGCCATTTATGCAAAGTGTCCACACACACACATGAACTATTTTTTTATATATAGTAGGATACAGCATTGTACAATCATAAATCCATTAGGAAATACAGTACGTATAAAGGCATAAATCGTACA